AACTTTAAATTTTGACAAACAACAAAATATTAAGAGAACAAAATCTATTAATGGTTTGTTAGTATATATCAGTGCCCCCAGAGAATTTGGAAATTCAAAGTGATCAGTGATCCGTTGGGGGCGAAATGTGCGAAAATAAATAAATACAAGTAAAGTGTATTTAAATTTTCTTGCGTTGATTTATTAATGCGCAACGTTTCGCTGACAATATGCATCAGCCTCATCAGGCGCAGGTTCGCGAGAATTCGTAAGTTTGGTTGACTTACTCGTCACCTGTCGTGCTATCGACTGACAAATTGATTGTTGCGCATTAATAAATCAACGCAAGAAAATTTAAATACACTTTACTTGTATTTATTTATTTTCTNTCATTCTTTTTTCCCTTTTTTTCTTTCATTTTTTAACTAAAATCAATAAATATTGTTAATTAAGTAGGTAATTTCAAAATAAAGAGTTCTATGACTGCTCAATTATGAGGTTAAGTGGACGATTTATTACTGTATGTCAATAATTAACTTTCTATGAAGTTGGATATCAATTAGAATAACTTTAAAATTGATTAAAATACACTGTATTTATTTTGACGTAACAGAATAAATGATTTGCAAGTAAAAACAACAACTTTGCTGTGTATCGTTTATCAGGACAAAGGCATAAATATGAAGTGTACGTAAGTACGGTACATGAATTATGCTGTACTATTGACTGGGACCTTTAAATTTTAGATGTACGTATATTGAGACATGGTTATAAATAAAAAATCCGAATTAAAAATACTGATCTTTGTTTTTAAATATATTTAGGAATATCTGAGTTCATGAAAAAAAAACATATCTTGACAAAGAATTCAATTTAATTAAGAAAAAACTCAGTAAAGTAAAAGTCACAATAGGTGCTGATTCATACGTCCCATAGAATAATACAATGGCAGAGTTGCAATAATCATTTTTTTCATAATATTCCACATGTACTATGGCTTTGAAAATAAGATATATGGTCAATGTTTCCAGGTACAATAAAACGAAATTTTTTTACAATCCTGTATATTCTCCGTTATTTAAATATAAATTGATTTCAAAACATCCCATTCATTTGGACGTTGTCCCACAATCGGGACATTTACCTTGCATGGTTTTAGTGAGAAATACGACTTTCTAATTTCTGATGATATTTTATAAGTAGGTACTCAATTTATGATTCACGGTTTGGTGTGGAGGGCTTCTTCAACAAATACAAATACCCCGAAGAGGTGGCACAAAAAATTTCCAGTAAGTTTATACATATTAATAAAACATAAATAACGGATGTGTTTATATAACCTCACTTGTCAGTCATGTGTTATGTAATCCTTATTTCAATTTATAATAGGTAAATTCATAACACTCTGTTGCCCTTGTAAGCACAGTTCTTGGGTCACATACGCAGCTCAGCGGCTGCCAGTGTTGGATGAGGAGGATACAATTTTGCATTTTTGTCACTAGGACCTATCTATAGCTACAGATCCTAGTGAGAAAAATGCAAAAGCTGAATAGGAAGAGGGAGGAAACCAGTGGTTCTCCCCAAATGTAACTGGCAAACTTGCGGGAAATTCGAATTGGCTATATGGAGCAAGACGCAAATCCCCAGATAACTCAACACAATTTCATGCACAATAACTTAATAAACTAATCCCAAGCTACTTAACCCAATAACCCAACGGGCCAATAAGCAGCACCATGAGTTTGAATGGATAATAAAATTTATTAATTAACAAAGCAAGCGCCAATTCCCACACGACCCGAGGCGCTTACTGGTCGTTTTAATTATTAATGATCAATAAAATAATAACGCCAGCACCTATCCCCACCCAACTCGGGGCGCTTACTGGCTGCTTCAATTATTGATAAAATAAAATAACAACGCAAGCGCCTATCCCCACACAACCAGGGGAGCTTACTGGCTGCTTCAATTATTGATAAAATAAAACAACAACGCAAGCGCCTATCCCCACACAACCCAAGGCGCTTACTGGTCGTTTTAATTATTTATGATTAATAAAATAATAACAAAAGCACCTGTCCCCACACAACGGGGNAGCTTACTGGCTGCTTCAATTATTGATAAAATAAAACAACAACGCAAGCGCCTATCCCCACACAACCCAAGGCGCTTACTGGTCGTTTTAATTATTTATGATTAATAAAATAATAACAAAAGCACCTGTCCCCACACAACGGGGGAGATTACTGGCTGTTTTAATTATTGATACAATAAAATAATACCACAATCGCCAATCCCCACACAACCCGAGGCGCTTACTGGTCGCTTTGATTATTTACAATAAATACAGTAATGCGAACGCTAATCTCCACATGACCCGGAAGACTTGCATTATTTTATGATTTTAAATAATTATAGTGACCAGTAACAACCCCCGGTTGTGCGGTGGTTGCCACTTGCGTTATTATTTTATTTTATCAATAATTAAAGCAGCCAGTAAGCGCCCCGGATTGTGTGGGGATAGGCACTGGCGTTATTATTTTAGTTTATCAATAATTAAAGCAGCCAGTAAGCACCCCGGGTTGTGTGGGAATTGGCGCTTGCGTTATAATTTATTAATCATTAATTATTAAACCGACCAGTAAGCACNTCGGCTACATAGCTGTATTCGCTATGTGCACAATTTTGAAGCAGCGCCATCCTAGGGAAAAACGAGAACTATTGGTCTGGCACAGCAGAAGGCAATATTTCAATAATTAAAGCAGCCAGTAAGCACCCCGGGTTGTGTGGGAATTGGCGCTTGCGTTATAATTTATTAATCATTAATTATTAAACCGACCAGTAAGCACCCCGGGTCATGTGGGGATTAGCGTTCGCATTACTGTATTTATTGTAAACAATCAAAGCGACCAGTAAGCGCCTCGGGTTGTGTGGGGATTGGCGATTGTGTTATTATTTTATTGTTTCAATAATTAAAGCAGCCAGTAAGCTCCCCCAGTTGTGTGGGGATAGGGGCTTTTGTTATTATTTTATTAATCATAAATAATTAAAACGACCAGTAAGCGCCTTGGGTTGTGTGGGGATAGGCGCTTGCGTTGTTGTTTTATTTTATCAATAATTGAAGCAGCCAGTAAGCTCCCCTGGTTGTGTGGGGATAGGCGCTTGCGTTGTTATTTTATTTTATCAATAATTGAAGCAGCCAGTAAGCGCCCCGAGTTGGGTGGGGATAGGTGCTGGCGTTATTATTTTATTGATCATTAATAATTAAAACGACCAGTAAGCGCCTCGGGTCGTGTTGGGATTGGCGCTTGCTTTGTTAATTAATAAATTTTATTATTCATTCAAACTCATGGGGCTGCTTATTGGCCCGTTGGGTTATTGGGTTAAGTAGCTTGGGATTAGTTTGTTAAGTTATTGTGCATGAAATTTTGTCGAGTTATCTGGGGATTTGCGTCTTGCTCCATATAGCCAATTTGAATTTCCCGCAAGTTTGTCAGTCACATTTGGGGAGAATCACTGATTTCTTCCCTCCTCCTATTCAGCTTTTGCATTTTTCTCACTAGTATCTGTAGCTATATATAGGTCCTAGTGACAAAAATGCTAAAATTATGTCCTCCTCACCCAAAACTGGCAGCTGCTCCTTCCGTTCAGTGCAGTAACAGCACCACACTGCCGTCTTTCGTGCGATCCGCGAAACCAGCTCATTCTCAGTCATCGCTCCAGTTTGGCTGATTACTGGGGGTAAGTGTACCTATCTCCGTGCTCTGCCCTATTACCGTGGATTTTGAAAAACTGATGATTACTTGCTCAAAATAAGAAATGTTTCATATAAAATAATTTTTCAATTTTAATAATCTAAAATGACGTTAATGTAGATGCAATTCAAACAAATATTTGTGTATATTTTGAGTAAATAATTATTTTCTACGGTATTCGGTACAACGCGCTCATTAACTGATTGTGTACGTATTTCCGCGGTGAGCGTACGTAAACATAACCCTATATACATCCGCGGTAATACGTACACGGTGATAGGTACACAACCACGGTAATACCAGCATACCGTTTTTATTCGTTTTAAAAATATTCTACTGCAGTTTTAGCTTCATAAAATTTTTGTAAATATTCCGTAAGAGATTATGTAAGATTTAAAAAAAAAATATTCCAAAAAATTTTAGTGTACCATTTTTTATGGTGCATTTAAGTTGGAATTTTCAGTACGTGCCACGGAGATAGGTACACTTACCCCTAGTTCCGAAACGAGTGTTGCTACTCACGCGCTACCTACGGAACTGTAGTATTCCCGATTTTGTTCTAGTGTACCATTATATTAGTTTTATTTAAAGGATTAATGGATTACAAAATTTTAATGATTTTGTAAAAGAAATCTTTTCTCTAACAATAATGAATTTCTTTAATATCCTTTTGAACTACAGTGAAACACTCAAGCTGACATTGACATCATTAAAAAGTTTTGGTATATCTTGGATCTACCTAATAATAACAGAATAATATTAGAAAAGAAATAATTAAAAAGTTATGATTTTCATTCTAATTTTGTTAGCCGGCTGATGAGGCTGAGTATACATGGAGTTCTGAACTTTCACGACTAGCTGTAAGCCTGTGTAAGTCGAGTGAGAAGCAAGAACATACACTCTCTTGGTTGTACTTTAGACTGGGCAGAACCACCTTCAACCGATTAAGTAATAAGAGTAGATCTACAGCTCAATCAATATGAATTTTTAATAACTTGTGGTATAAGATTATGTCAAACATACAAATATTAGATTATTTCTATTGATAGATTTTGAATTTAAAAAATTTATCAAACAATAAGGCTTCATATGTAAAAAAGACACAATTCCAATTTTTGTTTTTTGAATACCGGGTGCGTCACTACAATTAATAATGCTGTAAAATTTATATATTTAATAATGCTGTAAATTTCTGATATATAACAATTCCAAATGAATGTATACAATTTAATTATGTTAATGACAAGTACAAAATTTATACTTTACATCTATCACAATGATGTGGTAAAAAGGCCTATTACTGCAACCATATCTCACGAATCTAATAGATTTTGTTCTACTTTTGATTATAACTCCTGTTCCAGATGCTAAATGCAATGGTATACGAGGCATTTCGTGAAATTTAACAATGAATGAAATAATGACTCCAATTTTTAATAATTCTTCTATAGCTGAGAATACCAACTTTCACCCTAGACCTGTTGACGTGTAGATGAAGAAAACCAGGTCGACTGGTCCTGAAACTAGTTTTGCATCTTAAAGCAGTTCTGAGACTTGTGAAGCTGGCGTCCGTAAATGTTGAAAATTATTACTTTGCAACAATTCGGGGCTCAAACGATTCCTCGTTACTTATATGAATTACGGAGGTGCACAAATTAATAGGGTTGGAAAAGTCGACTCTGACTTTAGTCGAAAATCGATCTTTTACTTGAAAGAATCGACTTTGTAGAATCGAGCTGACGTCTCTTTAAGTCGACTAGAATCGACTTTTACTTGTAAATTACAGCTCGACGAAACTTATTAGAACTATTAGAAGTCGTTATTTTTAAATTAATACACCTAGGAAACAGCATAAAGATGTACATCATATACGAAATATAGACTGCTCGTTCTCATGTATGTACGGCGCTGAAGCACAAGTAGGAGACACAACATCGAACGTGAAAATCAGGGCTTGTGCTTCAGCGCCGTACGTAAGAACGAGCCGTCTATATTTCTTAAATGTCTTTGAGAAACAGGTAGTCCTAGAGATTAGTAGGGAGATTGCTGACTGCCATACTACGGAGTGTGCCCACTTTTTTCCAGTGGTTCGAGCACCCCGCTGCTGTCAAGCGGTCGAACCAGGCGCACATTTTGTTTATTTGAGCAGCACGGTAGGGGTATGAGAGGAGTGGATTCACGTGGATATGTCCATATAGGCGCATATCTTGGAGACGCGTGGAAGGGGTATACCGAATGTGCGCATACGAGGAAAGGAGTGAAAATGTCGGCTACATAGCTGTATTCGCTATGTGCACAATTTTGAAGCAGCGCCATCCTAGGGAAAAACGAGAACTATTGGTCTGGCACAGCAGAAGGCAATATTCGCGATATGTGCTTGATAATACCTATAAGAACACAGCACCTCGATAGATACACGAAAGGTTCTGTGTTTATTATATCACGAATTAATACAATGTCTCAAGTGGTACAATCCTATGTGAATAACTAAAGACAAAATTTGTACAAGCACTATAAGCGCTTGAGTATTACTTCAACACAAGTCCGTGGACTGTGTGATACGAGATATGTTTTATTAGTTTGCAATGTAGTCAACACAGACCTCCTCTGACCAATCAGAGAGCTCCGTAAGCCCTATACCGGCGTGTTCACACAGTATGTACACACGTTCATACAATACGCTTAGAGGATCAGGCCCCAGCTAAAAACTCTAAGAAATACACAGTATCCAATGTATTTCACTGCGTTTTTTAATGAACATGCCTGAGTAAAATATGTACATACTACTCATAATTTTATTAAAAATTTAACCCTTAGAATGGTTGTCGATGTATAAACACATAACTTTCTGATGATAGTAATGCTTAGCAGTCTGCTAGCAGAAGACAAACCTATCGTTTAGTTTCACATGTTAGCACAGGTATTGCTGCGATCGCTTTTTCAGCTTGTGCACGTAGCGAATAGCTGAGCGCACAGACGAAGCAAGCGACGACTCGAGTTTTTCCCCTTTAAGTCTTTTGACGCTGCATATAAAATATTAAAATTTCAAAGAGCCTAGATTCACCGTTTCTAAGGAATAAAATCGCGAAGTTGGCCACTTACACACATGCTCTTGAGAAGGACTTGTCGGAAATTGCACGTTTTTACTCATAACTTTTGAAAATTTTCTTTTAATCTTTTAAAAAACCAATATGCTAGGATTTATTATGGTTGAAATAAGTATACTAAAATTGGTGAAGCCTAGCTTCACCGTTTTTTAAATACAACAGTTTAAAGTCCAGTTACAACGTTACTAGAATACCTACGTAGTGGTACAGTCTGAGACGAAAGTTAGGTCATTTTGTTGTTTTAACGTTAGTATTCACTTTCCTGGGCATTTTTTCTGTTCTATACATCTAATTTTCAAATTGCTTACCTGTTTTGTTAAAAATAATCGCAGCAAAGACATTTTTAATACGAAAATTCAATTTTGAAATTGACTGTACCACGACAACCCCCTTAAAATAGTATTAACGTATACATTTGTAGTGCAAAATCTTTAAAAAATCTACAGTTTTCTGAAAAAATCGACCAATTATTTATCCTTGTTTTACATTTTTTTCTTAAAATCGTGAAGTATTCAAACTATTGTTTCGTACGTGTATTTAAGTTCATATTTCTTTATGATAAATTAATTAAGCTATGATTCTCTAGAATGATTATGTAGAACTATAAAAAAGCTATTTTGAAGATTTTAAAGTTAAGCTACTTGTCGTGAGAGTTCCGCGATCTTTTTAATAAAAGCAACCTGTGTCACGTGGTTGAAGATCCCGATAATACGTCTGTTACTATAACTACAAAAAAAAAAAATTAGCAATTAGCTGCTTTGCGTTGTATGGCTAGAGGGGTTTTTGATGGTCTATCTTATCAACTACAAACAATTGAATAAATTTATGCAAATTATTGTGTGTTGCATAAAATGTAAAATTAATTGACCGATTGCGATAATTAAAAGTGCAATTTAAATTGTGCAATTCTTATATTTTGTATAATTATTCATTTGTAAAAATATATATAGAGCCACCTTCAAAACAGAGAAAATAAATTTTTATTAACTGTATATGATTTACGTGCTGTCAAAAGATTTCGGTAACTATTTCTGACAAATTATTTCTGAAAAATTACAATAACAATTTATTGTGGGTAAAAAGGTTAATTGTTTTTACACAATACATCTTTTTTTATCCATACTCCGAGTTACAAGTGGTTGAAACTTATGTCTTAAATAAAAAAGGCTTCGTTCAGTCTCGGTAAGACTCTTTAAACTAAAATACCCACTATTTAAAAAAAAACTAAAGATTTTGCTGTTATGTTTGTAGGGGAGACCAGGGTAATCGTGGCAGTCTGGGTCTGCGTGGCATTTAAATAAAAAGAAAACTAATGACAATTTTCAGGCTTTTTTTTTTGAACACCTATACTGATGTCCCTTAAATTCCCTTAAATATTTTTAGGCGTTATAATAAGTATTTATTCATTTAAAATAAAGTTTTATATTTGTAGTATTTACATTGATCTTACTTACATACAAAGCAAAGTCGCTAAAACCGTTGTAATCGCTAACCGCGAAAACTACTGAACCGATTTTGCTGAAATTTTGCACACTGATTCATGATACTTCCTAGATGGTTTTAGTATAGTTTTTATCTTAAAAAATTTAATAACAATAGCAATAAATCAGCTCAAAGTTTTGCAAAAATACGCCAACTTTTCACTTTAGTATAGTAAAATCCGCTAGGTGGCGTCGACATAAAATCGAGGCTACCTGCAACATAATTAAAAAAGTGTGGTTATAATACGTCGGAGAGTATCAATAGTGATGCAGTCGTACTTCGGCAACTCAACGAGCTGCATAGAATATTCTGATAATAGTCTTGCAGCTGGATATCCCGGTTATGGACGACTCTCTTCCGTAAGGAGGAAGGGACCTAGGTTTCCATTCACCCTGAATCTCGACGAGTGCGATTAAATAAAATTCATTCCAACCGAAGACGTATCTGGCATAATACCGGGAGACATATCCAGCCAGAGGAAAATCTGCACCAACTCTTCAGAGTTGTGTGGCAGTCCCACCATCCCGCCTGGTGCAGTCAGAGAATTTTTGGCTACAAATGTAAGCCAGGGAAAATAGCTATGAGGGGCATGGGCCGCCTCAACGACTACCTTCTTAGTCGTCGCATCCCCAACGCGCTTACCCACATGTTCCCGTCTAACGATGAGCGGTTGATTATCCGGGAAACGACCCGAGACGAGATATTCTTTGGTCAGCGGCGTACCTCCCTCTATCACAGTCTCCATACATCGAGACTCCCAGGGTAAAAATCAAGCAACCGTAGCCAGCTCTTCATCATCAGGAATAAGAATAGCCTGGAAGTTTCACCACTGGCGCTTTTTAGGGCCATTATAAGTATGTACGTTCCCTACTTAACCATCAATTTCATCGGTTCTTTTTAGGATCCACCTAAGTGTAAACTACCTTGCCAACAAATACATTTTTATTACCATTTCCGAAAGCGATTCATCGACTAAAAGACTATATTAACTAAAGACGGGCACTATCAAACCAAGTCAGCCATTCACTAGCAGACGTCACCTGCGGAGTTGTTCTTCGCAATTCTGGAAAACCCGGTGACCGACGACCCTATACTACCCTCTCGACTCTAAGCATTCAACCAGGAATCACTGATCCTCTCCAAGGTCTGCGTTGGGCAAACCTATAACAGCTATGGAGGAAAAAAAACTTGAGCCAACGGGACAGCCTCCACTGGACAAGTATCACTAACCAATCTCCCCATCTGCTAAGAACACCAAAACAACTGAATCTGCAAATAAAAAAGGTGCTTTAGACACCAACGTCTTCGACGTTATACCGGGAGACGTTGGGAAAGAGCACTACAACTAGCCCCATCAAAGCTTTGGACTTCGTAATTTTTCTCCCGATCAGTCTGGGTTTTCAACAGCAGGCCAGAGAAGATCACCCTGAGGTATCCAGGCAGTCACAGTTGCTGTTAACTGCAGTCAAGAAAAAGGGGAAGGGGAATAACAACACAGGGGTACTCGCCTTAGGGTTTTATAGGGAATCACTTAAAACACTTTACTGACGTGAAGCACTTCGCCGTAGGGAACTGTCGGAAGTAGACTGACGGCAAGAGACCTTTCCAGCTCCTTTTATTGGCCAAAAGAAGTACAGAAAGTCACGTAGGCTTTGACCTTGGCATCTCTTTCCGAGAATCCGGTACGGATTTAGAGTTTGGACTGGTTCCAGCACGCCACAAGCCAATCCGTTGGTATTCTGGAGGCGAGCTTGAACAGGATGGAACAGGTAGATTAATTGAGTCTTGAGGTTTGCGGCAGGTCAGGTCTGGTTTGTTCCTGAAACATATGACATTTGCCTCCCACACTTCCAGAAGTGTCAGAAATCTTTATTGCTGATTTTGTTTTATTAGTTCAATATTTACTCGCCAGATGGCGCTATTACTGTTTTTGTGGAAATGCTTGAAACGGAATTGATTCCTAACACTTCCCCCCTTACAATAAAACGCGTTCCATTGGTTCGCGCTTTTTTACATTTTCGTTTATAGGTCCTTAGGGTCAGCCGGTAT